TAAGTCACTGATAGGAGCCATTACATCACTCCCTTTTACTTAAGCTGCTTTGAATGGGAGTTTCACTCTCCCCCCCTTCCAAATTAAAAGAGGCTGTAGATTTATATTTAAATTCTCGCAAACAGCATCTGGGCATCTTGGGAAATACTGTAGAATAAAAGTTAAGATGTTGGACTTAGAGACCAACTGCCTGGATTTAGATTTCTGGCTTAGCAAGTCTGTGACCTTGAACTAGTTCCTGAACCTCCCCAGAAGTCATTTTTCCCATCTTTAAAGGGGATGTAGTAATAGCACTCAAAAGGCTATTGTGAGGTTTAGAGCTCTTAAGGCAATACCTGGCACAAAGTGTGCACTAAATGTTATCTTTTTTCACTTTTATTTTAATACATTCATTTTAGACTACAGGAGGCAAAAAACCCCAACAACTTTTCATTGTGTTTAATGGTGTTTTGAGTTTAATTTTTAATTAGGTCCTTTTGGCCTAGGGCAGCCGTGGGCAAACTATGGCCCACGGGCCGAATCCGGCCGGTTTGAAATGAATAAAACTAAAAAAAAAAAAGACCGTACCCTTTCACTAAATGTTATCTTTTTTCACTTTTATTTTAATACATTCATTTTAGACTACAGGAGGCAAAAAACCCCAACAACTTTTCATTATGTTTAATGGTGTTTTGAGTTTAATTTTTAATTGGGTCCTTTTGGCCTAGGGAGAAGTATGGATGTTAAGGTTCTAGTGTTGTTATCACACTAGGAATGAATGTTAATAAACAGTGATTAAGAGGAAGAGTTGCCCCTAGGAAGTAATGGCTGGTCACCATGTAATGCTGCCTCATCTCAGAGTGCAACTGAAGCCAGTTAGGATTGGAGCCCTTTAAGATGTTTCTGTGATGCTAACAGTTTCACTGTTCTGAGTTTCCTTTCATCTTTATCCATATTGAATAGGAGAGACTGACATTAAAGTGTGTGTGGTGGGGGAGTGCGGGGCCTCATAATGAGTGACTGTGAGTTACATACATAAAAAGACAGGATGCCTAAATGGAAAGGGGAGAAAAAGGAAATTATTTACCACCCAGAAGAGTGTGTAGCAGTTGGGGAGGATTGGGTGGGGTGGGGAAGAGTTGCAGCTGTAGTCAGAAGATGTGGATTTGAACATCTGCTTGCTCAACAGTTAATCTCTCTGAGGCTCAGTCCCTATAAAGCAGGGATAAAAATACCCCAAATGTATTGAGCATTCTATGTGCCAGGAATTTGAATACCCATCCTATCTAATAGAGCAGTTGTAAAGACCAAACAGAAAAAGCTGTAAATATCCTACATAGAAGCATATAATCTATAATAATAAAAGCGTAATATGCAAATCGACTAACAGCAGAAACAGCCGTCGGACGACTTTCCAGATGACCACGCTATGACACGCACTGGCACCAGGCCAGCCAAGGCGGGTGCCATGCGATTGGTCGGGGGGCCTGCCATAGCCCCACGATCACCCCACAGAGGAAGGCCCAGGCCACTGGCCAGCAGGGCGATCAATTGGCGGGGGGCTCTGTGATCCTCCCAAAGAGGAGGCCCAGGCCACCCTCTGCGGGCGATCAATTGGGGGGTTCCAGGGAACTGGAGGTGTGTGGTGGTGGATGCGGGCAGCGCCAGGCCAAGGCAGGTGCAGGCGGGGGGCGGGGCCTTGAGGCAGCAGGGCCTCTAGTTAACTATAAAAGACCATACTACAGTTTGGCCACCAGTACAGACTCCCGGCAGGTAACTTCTGCACTGCAGTTTCTTTGTTTCTGCCATTTAACCTGCTTTAGCTGATCCAGCTTTTATATACCATGAATCGGTACGATGGGGTCAGAGTTCTCATCATCCAAAGTTATTTCCATTTACCTGTGAACACAACACTGATCTACCAAAGTGTGGGTGAGGACCAGAAGCATCCTCAGCACCTGGGAGCTGGTTAGAAATGCAGACTTTCTGGCCCCACCCAGAGCTGCTGAACCAGAGTCTGTCTGCATTTGAACTAGATCTGCAGGCAGTTCGTACTCACATTAAAGTTGGAGAAGAAGCTGTGCTCTGCAGGCGGGGAACGTTGGCTTCCTCCTTCAATGAAGGAAGCAAGCCTCATGTTCGCTTTAAGCTGCCTGGCTGCCAGCCGCCATCTTGGCTGTCAGTTAATTTTCATATCTCCCTGATTAGCCAATGGGAAGGGTAGCGGTCGTACGCCAATTACCATGTTTCTCTTTTATTAGTGTAGATAATAATAAAAGCGTAATATGCAAATCGACTGAACAGCAGAACAGCCGTCGGACGACTTTCCAGATGACCACGCTATGACACGCACTGGCACCAGGCCAGCCAAGGCGGGTGCCATGCGATTGGTCGGGGGGCCTGCCATAGCCCCACAATCACCCCACAGAGGAAGGCCCAGGCCACTGGCCAGCAGGGCGATCAATTGGCGGGGGGCTCTGTGATCCTCCCAAAGAGGAGGCCCAGGCCACCCTCTGCGGGCGATCGATTGGGAGGCTCCAGGGAACTGGGGGTGTGTGGTGGTGGATGCGGGCAGCGCCAGGCCAAGGCAGGTGCAGGCGGGGGGCGGGGCCTTGAGGCAGCAGGGCCTCTAGTTAACTATAAAAGACCATACTACAGTTTGGCCACCAGTACAGACTCCCGGCAGGTAACTTCTGCACTGCAGTTTCTTTGTTTCTGCCATTTAACCTGCTTTAGCTGATCCAGCTTTTATATACCATGAATCGGTACGATGGGGTCAGAGTTCTCATCATCCAAAGTTATTTCCATTTACCTGTGAACACAACACTGATCTACCAAAGTGTGGGTGAGGACCAGAAGCATCCTCAGCACCTGGGAGCTGGTTAGAAATGCAGACTTTCTGGCCCCACCCAGAGCTGCTGAACCAGAGTCTGTCTGCATTTGAACGAGATCTGCAGGCAGTTCGTACACACATTAAAGTTGGAGAAGAAGCTGTGCTCTACACAAAGTCCCATGTGAGATAAACTTGGGACAGGGTAACAGAATAGAAAAGGGGAAGCACATGAACAAGGAACAGAGACAGACCATGCCACCATTAAAATGAGGATAGTGGTTCCTTTTACTAATGAAGACCTTGGCCACTTGTGGTGCAGGTGTGAGGTGTGGTAGAAAGAGTATTCTGGATTTGGAGTTCTTGTCCTAGCTCTGCCACTTAATTTAGAAAACCAGTCACTCAATTTCCTCACCTATAAAATGGGGTTGTAATATCTATAATGTACATGAAGCATTAAGCACAAAACAGAGAACCCACTGTTCTTTTCATCCCCCCTCACCCCCAATGGAGAGTGTCTAGAAGAGTAATAATACGATGGATTGGTGCTGTCTTTATGATGTATCATATTTCACCACAGAAATATGGGAGCTCTCACCCCCAAACCTGGGATGTATCTATGTACTGGGCATCTTAACAAGATGGTACTTACCCATTGATAAACATTTTGGCTGCATTGTGTTCATTCATTGAATATTCATTGAGCATTTACTAAGTGCCAGTACTTTGGTTGAGAATACAGTGATTAACCAGATATTGAGGAGACAGCAGTGCACATGATAGACATGATCCTGACCTCAAAAAGGCAGTGCAGGCATGTGAACGGCTCTTAAAAGACCGAATGGTAAGTACAACAGCCTGTTCATTCCTTACACACTTGTGTACCCAACCACGCCCTGTTTGGGCCTAAAGTGGGGGCCCCACATAACTGTTAAACTGAGGGCTAGGATTAGCAGAAGGAAGGGGACAGTGACTACCGAGGAGACAATTGATGGTTCTGCTGTGCCAGAGATCCAGCACATATGGTGAGCACTTTATGGTTTCCAGAAAGAAGGGATTCCAGTGATAAATCTCTGGCACCGGGAAGAAGACAGGTGGGGATCTAAGATATTCTAGCAATTTCAAAGGGAGCAATGTCTTGTTAATGTAATGCACAGGGTATTATTGTGTATTGGTGGTGTAAAATATTTACTTAGATGATTGTAGATTGGTTAAACAGGCATATTGAAGGGAATTCTGCTCTTCTGGGACGCTGCCAAGCACAGCTGACAGTATAAATTTATGCTTGCTTCAGTGTCTGTATGTTTGGTCTTGTTTTCCCCCTCCGCATTCCAGAAAGTGGTGACATGGGACAAATCTTTCAGCCAAGCATTCCTCTGTAAGCATTCCTGCCCTGCTTAAACCTACAGGGGTTCTCTTTTACATAATGCATCAACTCGAAATGTCTCTTAATAGCTTTCCAAATCCTCTGGACTATGTCATTAGAAAGAGCAGAGCTCGGGGTTTGAGTTGATTGCTAATAGCTTTGAGCCTTCATTTCTTTATTTGTAAAACAGGAGTAATAATACCCACCATGCCAAATTCACAGGACTGTGAGAGTCAAAACAAAATGATGCATCTGAAAGCACTTTGTAAACCACCAAAAACTATGCAAACATTATTATTATTATGGTGCTCCTATCCAGCCAACCTTGTCTTAGGACACCCCTTCCGCTGCTCTTCAGCCGAGCCACACCAAGCTGTGACCATTCCCGTGTCTGAGTGTCTGAGCTGGTGTCACGCCTCAGCATGGTGTTGGGAGAGCAGACCCTAGGCCAGACTGCCTGGGGTCTGGATGATAGTGGTACTTGCTTACAGGACTGTGAGGAGGATTAAGTGAGTTACTGGTATAAAGTCCTTAGGACAGTGCCTGGCACACAGTGTTATGAACACCCACTATTACCAGGCTCTTTCCTAGACAATGAGAATAAAGATATATAAGACACAGAGCCTTCTCTCTGGAGATGCTCATGGTTAGTAGGAAAGAAGATCACTTCCCCATCTGTGGCCAGATGACCAAGCAGACAATTACAGGAAGGTAGTTCTATTGATGGAATGTTTATGTCCCCCCATTCATACCCACCCCCAATGTGATGGTGTTTGGAGGTGGGGCTGTTGGGAGGTGATTAGATCATGAGGATGTAGCCCCTGGGATGGAATTCGTGTTCTTATAAAGGAGGCCCCAGCGCTCCCTTGTCCCTTTTACCAGGTGAGGACACAACAGGACAGCCATCTGTGACCCAGGAAGTGGGTGCTCACCAGACACCGCATCTGCTGATGTCTTGATCTTGGATTTCCCAGCCTCCAGAACTGTGAGAAGTGAATTCTGTTGTTTAGAAGCCTAGTCTATGGTATTCAAAACATGAATTCTTGGGGGGCCCAATTCAACACATAACACTTCCTCTTGAAGCTAGTGCAAGGATAGTGACCTACACGAAATGACTGTTTACACGCTCACAACTCCGTACTTCACAGCATCAAATCAGAGATGTGCAAAGTATGTGAGATTCCTTGCATCTTACTAGTGTGGGGCCAATGTTGTGTGACTCCCAGGGTTGCTTTAGTCTTCCTAGCACCCTGCCTGCTGCTTGCTTGTATGTGTTCGGAAGAATGAGCTTAGGAAGAGCCACACTCAAGGGGCCAAAGAGCCGCATGTGGCTCGCGAGCCGCAGTTTGCCGACCACGGACCTAGTCTATGGTATTCAAAACATGAATTCTTGGGGGGCCCAATTCAACACATAACACTTCTCTTGAAGCTAGTGCAAGGATAGTGACATACACGAAATGACTGTTTACATGCTCACAACTCCGTACTTCACAGCATCAAATCAAAGATGTGCAAAGTGTGTGAGATTCCTTGCATCTTACTAGTGTGGGGCCAATGTTGTGTGACTCCCAGGGTTGCTTTAGTCTTCCTAGCACCCTGCCTGCTGCTTGCTTGTATGTGTTCGGAAGAATGATTCCTTAGAGTGTCAAGCCAAGTATGCGCTTGATAAGTAGTGGGAAATAAGTGCCCTTCTCTTTATTTCCACATATCTGTAACCTACCCATCTTTCAAGGCCAAGGTAGTCTTAGACATTCTAATATCTAATATTATTGAGCCCTGAAGTTCCCCAAGTGTTACATGGCTCAAGTGACAGAGCTGAGTTTCTACCCAGGTATTTCTGACCCTAAAATCCATACTTGTTCCATTGCTCCCTGTTCACTCTGTTTTCTGCTCCACTCCAATCATTCAATAAATATTTATTACTTGTGGGAACAATGCTCTCTTTAAGCCAGCTGTGATCAAATTATATTTTGAACTATCTCTACTCAGCATTAATGGTGCCTTCTACCTAGTTTTGTAATTATAAGTATGCCACCTCCTCTGGTAGACTGCAAACACCTTGGAGGAAACTGCATGTCCAATTTATCTTGCACCCCTAAAGGGCTGAGTAGAGCATACAGTGTTTGAACCTTGTGGGCCTCCATAAATATCCAATTAACAAGTGAAAGAGTACATACACCTACAAATATTAGGTATTAAATTCTTTCCAGTTCTGTGTTCTGATTATTATAATATGGTCCAGCTTCAAAAATAATTCTGTGTGTGAATTTTTAAAAAGCCTATCTTTTGTCTATGAGTTAAGTCCCCTATTTCCAATTCATTGATCCTCAATCCCTGGACTTTTGACCCAAAATATAAAGTTATTTATACCAGCACAAATGCATACTAACATATATGTATAGATATAGATAGATATAGACATAGATATAGAGGTAGATAGATATATAGATATAGATATAGATATGAATCACCTTTCAGGCTAGGAAAATTTATTCATTCCTTTACTTCAAGACTTAATTTCCAATCTTATTATACCAACTGCTGTTTTGAGGTGTTACTTCTAGATAGACAATTACAATTTTTGAGGGAACAGAAGAAGCATGTCGGGGATTCTCATCTTCTACTCACCACCTTCGGAATAACCAGGGGCCCCTTTAAGCTCACTTTTATGGCTAACATCCCATGGGCTTGCTGACTCTCATCCCACGGAGTCCCACTACTAAGTCCAAGCTGAAGGATTCACAGGCAGACCACTCCTCCCAGGCACAGATACAGGTTTGTATTTTAAGGAGAAGCTTCAAAGTCTTAGCACAGGTAGTGAGCACTGGGCCAGTTGTAGGTAGGCACTTTTGCACCTTTCCGTGGTGGTGGCAGGACCAGTAGTGGGAGGTGAGGCAAACATCTCAGATGCTACCCTTTTCAGGCATTTTCTATAGCAACTCCAATTGGAGGAAAAGAAGTGGCAATTATTATGTCTACCACTAGAGGACAGATTAGTCAAATTTTGGAATGTTTGCTGGCCATTGTAAAGGCTGGGGAATTTTTTTTTTCTTGCTTTCAAAAATCCCCCTGCATTAGACAAGAGACCAGAAATAGGAAAAAAGCAAAGTCAGAGGCATGCTATTGATAAGGGTGGGTTCTCCTCCGTATTTTTTCTCTAATTGTGTACTAAGCTTGCATACTAGTCTTGCCCTAGGGAAGTGAACAGGTATCAGCACATCCAGGTAGTAACAGCCTAGTATTTAGTACCTGTTATGTGCTAGGCACTATGCTAGGCATTTTACCTGCATCATCATCATCTTTGATCCTCCCAACAGTCTTTTGTGGCAAATTTTTAAAATAATTATTTTATAGATGAAGAAACAGGCTTATGAAGGTTAAGGATATTGGTCAAAAGTAAGAAGCTAATTAGTGGCAGACTTGGGATTTGAATTGATGTTTGTTAAGGAGGGGGTAGATGGTAAAAGGGGTGGCTTGAAGGGATGGATAAATCATTCAAAACCTCTGAGAGGGCTTCAGGGCAGGGCATTGTCTTTCTTATCGCAGCAACTCTAGGTGGAGAAAATAACTTTAAGCAAATTATATATGTACTCAGTGTAAAAAATTTATATTTAAAAAAATATGTATTTATTGATTTCAGAGAAGAAGGGAGAGGGAGAAAGAGAGAGATAGAAACATCAATGATGAGAGAGAATCATTGATCGGCTGCCTCCTGCATGCTCCCCACTGGGGATTGAGCACGCAACCCAGGCATGTGCCCTTGACTGGAATTGAACCTGGGACACTTCAGTCAGCACTGAGCCAAACCAGCTAGGGCTCATCATTTTTTATTGTAGATACATTACTGTGCAGATAAATACAGAATCTTTACTATAAATTTTAATGATTGTATTTTATCACGTATCCAGTTCCTATTGATAAGCTTTTCATTAATTTCCAGTTTTTTATTATAAACAATTGGGTAACAAATTCTTTGCATCTGCTTCTATCCAAGGCATTCTATCTCATCTCCCTTAATTCCTTTGTCGTTATTTCTGTTCTGCCATACCTTTTCTTTAGAAATAGATGTCAGATAAATAGCTCCCATCTTTAAAATAAATCTTCCCTGATGTCACTCCACCTCCAGCTACACCCATGTTCTTTGTTTCCCTAGTCACCTTACATTTTTAAAAGCGGTGTTTATACTTGCCAACCTCACTTTCTATCCTCCTGCTGTCTCTTGAATCCATTTCCACCAGGTATTCACCCACAGCCCTCCACAGACAGTTCTTACAAGATCATCAGTGGCCACCATGCTGTCCAACCCAATGGCTGGTCCTTCGTCTTTGACTTTCTTGCAGCATTTGACACATTGACCATTCCTTTCTTTCTTGGAATTCTTCACTTGCCTTCCATGAAACCACTTTCTTGGTTTTTTCCCCATTTTATTAGCCCCTGCCTTTCACTGTCCATAGTTTCTCCTCTCCTCCAGTTTGGGGGCATCCCATTGTTCAGATCTCAGACCTCTTTTTTTCTCCTTCTCCATTCATTCCTTAGGAAATCTCATCTGGTCTCAGAGCTAAACACTATCCAGATGCCCAGACCTCTCTCTGAACTCCAGATTCCTAATCCAAGTGCTTACCTGACATCTCTACTGAGATGTCTAACAGACTATGCAAACTTGACAAATTCAAAGCCCTTGATTTCTCTGACCTCATCTCACCTAAATTCTCTTTCTACAAGTTTTCCCGCTCAATAAATGTTCCTCTCAGCCAAAAATCTCAGAGCCAAACTTGACTCCTTTATATCTCTTATGACTCATATCTGCTCTGTCCAGAGATCCTCATGGCTCTGCCTTCAAAACATATCTAGAATTCAAGCACTTTCAACAATCTCCACGGTCACTCTCTGTCCTCGTGTCTCACCTGGATCATTGTAATCACATTCTGCTTACACTTTTGCTCACCTCCAGTCTATTCTTCACCAGGAGCCAGAGGATCTTTACAAACTCAAGTCATAGACCATCTTCGCTTTGCTCAAAGCCCTCCATTGTTCCCACAAGTAATTCTGCTTGTTTTGTTAATGGTGAAACCCCAGTGGCCTCACTGTGGTGAACAAGGCCCTGTGTAGTCTCAGAGGACCACTCCCTCAGCTCCCACCACTTTGCTCTTCCTCACTCTGCTCCAGATTCACTGGCCCCACCTTTGTACCTGCTTTTCCTCCGTCTGGAAGCATCTTTCCATCGGTATTCCTACACCCTGCTTCCCTATTTCCTCAAGCCTCTGCTCTGTGTCTCCTCATCAGAGAGGCCTTTTTTCTAATCACCCTGCTAGGACCAGTGCATTCCATTTCTTATTGCCCTTACCCTGTTTTATTCTTCTTACGAATATCACCATCACCAACACCAATACCACCACCACCACCATCACCACCACCACCACCACCACCACCACACACACACAGACAATTGATTTTTTTGCCATTTGTCTCCCCAGACTACAATGCATACTCCTTGAAGGCAGGCATTTTGCTTGTTTTGTTCTCAGCTGTACCACTAATTTTCAATCCAATACTACAAATGAATGAATATTCATCTTCTAGTTGAGATTATCTCCTTAAGGTAGATTTCTAGGAGTGGGAGTACTGACTACAAGATCTGAATTTTAAAGGCATATTTGACACATTTGACTGATTTATATTCTCATCCACAGAGTACACGACAGTGCCATTGACCCAATACTCACCAAAAGGCATTTTGTCAATACTTTTCATCTTTAGGAATCTCATAGACAAAAATATTTTCTTTTCATTTGCATTTTGGGATTATTTGAATGTTTATGTATAGATTTATCAATCATTTGTACTTATGTTGTTTGTGTGAGTTTCTAGATTATGTTCTTTGTCTACTTTTCTATTATGATGATTTCTCTTATTGATTTATTCTTTGAGTATTAAATCTTTGTTTAAATTGATAGTATTTTCCCGTTTTCTATTTGTCTTTCAA